GTAAGTTTACCAATGAATTTTACAGGCTTTGGAGAAAACACTAGAAACGTTATTTTCTTAGTATAGACTGCTATCCATTATGATCGGGATATCCTCTTAAAAGGTTTACCAACGAGTGTCATAATTACAGTATATTTTACCGTCAACAATACGTCATAGAAATACGGTGTGCAGGCACGCACTCTTTTGAATATAATTACTTTGATTTCTATATATTTTTGTTTGTAAAAAATATGCATTTTCGTCGATTTACAGATATACAAAACAGAAAGAGAGGTCTCCTACTGAAATGATATTGTTGTTTTATTTCTGAGACAGATTCCACCAATTAAATGATCTCTTTGCAGAACTTAAGATCCATGACGCGTTGTGAAGCGTAAAATTCTGTGTATTCATGAACACTGTTGATAAATCTGTCTAATTCTAAATCTAGACTTGACGCTGATGCAGTACTACTCCCATTATTCCTTCAACATGATAAGCACCATTGATCGTTGTAGACTGGCGACGAATTGTTGAGATAGTGCACCAACTCAGATAGAATTGTTACCTTTCAAGGGCAGAACTCTTCCCTTACCCACTCACAGTGTAAGGAAGAAGGTATCCTTATTTCTTCATAGGTACACCCAAATCAGGACCCACGAATCTTGCACTGGCTATAGTCTCAAAAACACAAGTAGTGCACAATACGTATTTCAAATATAGACCATCTTTTCAGAAGGGTCAGGGTGTGACATTTGTTTGAAGAAGTAAAAACCAAATCTTGAAACTGTGAAATGATGGCGGTACCCTAGACAGGCAGAAAAAGACCCTTACCAGACAGTGTCCTCTAACATAACATTCAAGATGCAAAGGAAAGTTATGTTTCAAAGAAAGACTAAATAACCACCCTGGAAGCATCAAAACGCATGGCTCTCCATTAGAAAGCGGCAGAGATTTATTCCCAGCAAAAGCCGAACAAACGTGTTTAATCTGCAGTTAGACCATTTGGCAAATATAAAGCAAAACTTTTAAGATCCTTGTATTAAGTTTCCCAAGCCGAGGAACAGAAAGATGAGAGCAGAGGTTACAAGTTGGAATGCTAGCAACAGAGACCACTTGCGAGGAAGCAACAGATAAAGGAATTTTAGTGAAGCCTCGCAAAATAGCATGGCGTCATAGTGCACAGCTATAATATCGTCATACCGACCATTACAGATGTTCATAGATTTCCTGACTCGAACAGAAAAGGATTAACGTCACAAATGTACGTTGTGATCGAAACATAGATACACGATAGCGCCCCGTTATGATGGGGCAGATATAGGTCGAGTATAGAGAGGAAAAATGGCTGTCACACGAAAGTGATTATAAAGCTTATAAAATGGCAAACATAATATTTGAAGTTATCATATTGGAAATACATGTGTTTAAAATGACGCTGCAAGCATTGCTTACGGTACAGGAAAAGCCAACAAAAGCCCACACAGACAATAACATTTTTACTAAAACTGAGATTTCGGCAGCATTTGTATTTCATTTGGTTGCGTCCTGATTTCATTTAGGCGTACATGTTCGAAAAAACAAAAAGACTTGATTCACATCTTTCTGATCCAAACCTGAGCAAAATGATATAGTTGAGCGATAGTTGTGACAAGAAGTTTTCTGTTCCTCAGAGATTATGACCCCCCCCCCCCCCCAAGAAAATGAATTCGATTCCTTGTTTCTTTTAAAGGGATAGCCCGCTGATTTCAGAATTGTTTTCATTGCAGATTTGGTGAGCTCTTAAGTAATATTCACTTCCCAAAAGGACCCAACGCTTGCATGATTTACTCCGGTGTCGTTAAGGAAAGTCCATTTCTTTACCATTGTCTCTATCCGAAACTTCAATTTAGGACAAGGCCGGTCATGTCTTCGCGCCAAAGGACTCTACACAGTCTTTCGTTAGAGCGGTCTCCAGTGACCACACGCTTGATCCATTGATGTGTCAGCCATTTGTATGGCTTTATCCACCGTTTATCCAACGCATTAAAATGGTCATAATGGGGGAGATTACGCAATTCACAGTGGCCTGGCCATCTTTCTTAAAGGAAATGAGGTATTTATGTTAAAACTTCCAAGTGTCAATGACTAGACAGATTCACATCTAGAACTTTTTCGAAAATAAATTTACGAAGTTTTTATATTTATCACATAACGCATGCCCATTATAATCAGTTGTTGACATAATTCACGAATAACCAAAATTGTTTATTCTCCAAGCTCATTCCTAAATTTACAGATGCAAGAGGTTTTTAAGGAGTAAATGAAATGGGGCATGTGAACATCATATTTCTTAGGCCAATCAATAGACAACTTTGGTTATCAGTGTTCAGTTAGTTATATCATGAATGTACCACAAGGGCTAGATTTTGATTTTAGTTAGAGACAGGACTTTTCCTGAGCGCTTGAGGCCACTTTTGATCGTTTCATATCTGCTTTCCTTTTCTTGAGTCAAGATGTTGCTCTGAGGCTACGGTTAATTAAAGGAAGGTGTTGTTTGCAGCTTTGAATGAACGTTTTAAAGAATTACATTTTGCATTCACTGTTAATGTTGTCAGCGTTTCCAATATTTCTCATTTGTCATCAATCTCACTCGAGGTCTGTACTCCGTGATATTCATGACAAGGCTGTTTGGATTATAAACAGTATCCTCTTTTCGTCGTTGCAGACTCTCGCTTTGTGTAGTTTACATACACACACACACACACACACACACACACACACACACACACATACACACACACACACACACATACACACACACACACACACACACACACACACATTCTTATTCTTCCTGATGATATTTTAAATCTAAGATTTAATGTATAGCTTTCAAATTTTGTTATTGATACTACGATAAAAAATATGTTGGTTTCGTTAGTTGAATTTGTTTCCAGTTTTGTTTATTTACAAAGAACTAAATATGACCTACATATTATTGACAAAAGGGTGTCATCGGTCAGAAGACACAAATCTTTCATCTTTCTGCTATGGTAAGGAGGAAACTAATTGAAAACATATGGAACAAATACAAACAGTGACCAAAAGCGCAAATTTTACAAATAAGCACACACTCAATAGTACAGTGGTGTAAAGACTTACGATTTTTGTAGCTTGCATTCTCGGGCTGCACTTATCTAACAAGTTTACTTTGTTAAAATACGAGAAGATAGAATAACCGAAAGAAAAAAGGACATATTGCAATAATTCACCGTTTAGTAGTATTAAAGTATTAGTAGGTCTATTAGTATTTAAATAATATACATGTTATTACTCTAAAATATAATATATTTTAAAATGTTATCTGTACTTTTGACCATTTCGGGTTCCATACTCCGCTACGCTGTGACAACTTGTAATGTGGTCCTCCTCAATATATTTTCTCTTCTGTCTTATTAGTTTCAAGTCATATGTTTAAACCATCAAGTCTACTGTGGCCACATATCTTCTCTTGCAAATGACGAAGCACACGTAACTAAAATGTCTCTGGCTTCAAAGACAGTATTTCTAACTTATTTTGTCTTCTCACCAGCAACAAGAAAATTGACATCATTACTCAAGACAGTCCCGGGAAGCACACTACTAGAAAGGGTCGCGACATACGAGTATTCCACTTTTGATCAATTCCTATATTTTTTTTTCGGACTTCAATATTGTTGTCTATATAGGAAAGGCTGTAGAAGACATCAGAACCTAAACAAAGGGACATTGAGTACAGGACAATTCCTTAAGTGAGATCCACAGCAAAAGGTATTCTCGTTAGAGGTAAAGATAAAGAGAACCTTAAATGACGCTAGAGCAGGTTTTACAAGTGTATGTTGAGAACATTTTTGAGACTATGGGAGACCTGAGGGGAGCAAGAGGGAAAACTATGGCGTATTAATTTGGGGGATAGGAAGGCCTAGAGAAATATGAATTGTCATAATCATCTCAGGTGAAAATAATTAACAAATGAGGCTTTCCGAACAGCATGTGAATTGAAGACTCTAAAACCTCGAGAAAAGCACGAACTGAAGTAATTCGTCAAGCAAAAATTGTAATTGAGAAGGGCAAATCGATTAGACACTGATCTTCCAACAAAGTGAAAGTAAGCAAATTCTAACATTCGTGTGAAAATGGAGTGGGGAGGGGTTGGTTATTCGAAGAGGATTAAGAAAAGGACTACACCAATTATAGGTTGAAGGAGCAGAGAGATTCAAAGAAGATTCTTATGTTTTTGTGTCTCTTGGTAACATCAGTCAATGCACTGGCCTTTGGAGGATAAATAATGGCGACCGTATTCAGTTGCTTTTACCGTCCATCAACACTATAAAAACTTATACATATTATGTATGTGGTTGTTGTTCATTGTGCTATGTAAATTTATACTCGGATGACGACTGTCTGTTTTCTATCATAGTTATTCTGCGTCCTGGGTGTCTTCTTTCTTTCTTATACATACATACATACACTCATTTTTATATCTGACATCTAAATAAATTTTACAGTTTTGAGTAAGTAAATGAGCGCAGACGCTGAAAATTTGACAGCTTGAATTTAAGCAATGTAAATTCTGAATTTGCTAACTGGAGTACACAGAATACCAAAAAACCAAACCTATTGCGTCTTTCTACACAAGCAAAAGGCGTACACGCAGCTCAGGCAGAAGGGCAACTACTCTAAGAACGCACTCAAGTGTGCTACAGAGAAAAGATGAAGGAATCAGCTACGGCGAAATCAGCTACAATGAAAGAGAAAAAAGTAAAACAACTACTCATTCATTGGTGCATTATCTAAACGTGTGTGCTCGGCACTGCAAAATTTGTGCTGTTTACTTTTCAGGGGAGTCGTCAAATCGGGGTGCATGGGGGTTCAGAATGCTTTCTGCATTTTAGGAATTGTTATTATTGTTGCAGGCCAAAATAAAGCGCAATGACTTTCCGCTATGAATGTAACACGAATGGTGCTTAATGATTGGAGGAAAACTGAGGCAGTACTTGCAACAGCGTCACCGTCCCGTTGTCCGTTACCGAGTTGCCGACATTGGTTGACGTCACAGCTCCGGCCGGGCCGGGAGGTCCTGGGTAACCCTAGGAGGCAATGCAGAATAGACAGATTAATTACAGGGGAATCGGGTAACCCTAAGAAAAAGGAAAAAGATCCGGAGGTTTGGGGGGTATGAAACATAGTTTAATATCCCGAAAGGTTTAAATCTGAAACAAAGTGCAGCATGATATAATATATGACATGGATGCCTATACATCCAGATATACAATCTGATAAGGAAAGGAACGTTTAAAAATAGCATAAAATACATTATACATGTATTAGTGCATACTAAGTAATAAATAGAGGCATGATTCATAGAGCATACACGCACAATAAATCCTAAAACATTTTAATACACTGTAGCTTTTCTGGTCATCAAGACGGCGAGTCAACTCGATTTAGACAGACAGTAGTATTCAACAAAAATAACTTGGCTTTCCTACACGGGGGTCTTTTGAGCCAACTGCCACGAGTTTCTTGACTGAGTGAATATGAATATTCACAAAAGACAAAAGTCTTCCAATTTCTTATTCCTTCATATTTATATTGATATCTCGAAGATCTAATAAACTTCATGGGGTCTTCAGCGAGACAAAGTAAGAGGGTCAATCACCAGCCAAACGTTTCTATGCAGAAATATGGCATACATGTGTCTAACATTCATCTTAGTCTATCACAGCAGGGCTGTCAGACTCAGTCACTCAGGGGCCGTTGTCAAATTATTATGAGGGCCCAACTAGATAAACACACATTGAGCAGTAAAAACCCCCCCAACTAAACCTATTTTGAACAATAACGTGCTTAAAGACAAACGCTAAACTGACAAACCAAGCCATTTCCGTTTTGTTCATACGCCACATCGTCGGAGCTTGATGTTTAGTACCTTTTCTTGGCAACTGGTGCGTTTATCTTTGCAGAAGGGTTCTGATCAAGGTGCTAAGAATGGACCACCTAAATTTAATTATCTCGCAGGCCGGATATAATTGTTTGCCGGGATAGATGCAGCCCGCAAGCCTTGAGGTTGACACCTATGTATTCCGGGCCGTATCGTGACTCTAGGCCTAACAGAAACAAGGTTTGTTAGAACACGTTTTCATAGCATGTCTTGTCATGTTCAGTATAAAATAAAGAAAATATATTTTAAAAAGCTCCAATTAAACCATGCGAACAACTCATCATAGACCATTTGTCATTTTTTTAAATTAGAAAGAGCAAACATTTTCTGACACGATGACAAAGTAATTCCGATTCACTGAATACTGAGACTCACTAAAATATCTCCAAGTGTCGTGAAACGTGGCTGTGATCAGAGTCTACATAATTTGTAAACTATTATTGTTGTATAGTGAGGTAAAGCAAAAGATCGGAGATTATAAGTTATGTTTGATGGTTTCATTAAAAGAAATATTTGTTGGGTACCGACAGGGCTGGAGGTCTTTGTTCAGCGTCGCTGCCAGAAGACACACCGGATGGTAAAATATTACATATAACGAATAGTGTAAATTAGTACAATAAATGATGGGTTGGTATATAACCATAATGCATGATTATGTAAGATGCATTCTAAAAATTGAACGGGAATCGAAGGTCACAAAAAACCGTCAACGTGTTTCGGAAATGGTGTATATTACATTAAGGCCAAAATCAAGGTACACATCTTGGAACTCCTTACATGTCGGCCAACCGCCTTATTGAGGAAGGATCATGCCCACCGTCTACTCCCAAGTTATGAACAGATTGATAACCTTGAATTCCCCATGGCCTGAGGCAGGAGCATCATTAAGGTTAAAATACGTTTTCACTCTACTCGAAACACTGATCAGTGAGTGAGGAAAGTCGAAGAACGTTGACGATATCAAAACAAAATAATTTGTTTTCAAAATTTGCCTTGAGACCAATACAACGATATCTTGTTCAACATATTACTGTAGTAGCAAATTGATTCGGATAATATATAATATATCATGTTAGATTGACCTATATTATGTATACCAATCGTATGGTTTGAAGGGTTTTGTGGATCTGAGTAGCAGGGGCTATGTGTCTTACCCTTTCTCCCCGGCCTCCTTTACCACCGGTCTCTCCTTTGATGCCTCGAAGACCCTGTGGAGAAATAATGAATGGCAACTGAATTTGTTGTCAGGGTGGTGGCCGCGGCGATAACTGTGTCGAGTGGTGATGCTGTTGTTGCTTGACAATGATGATGATGATGGCGGTGATGATGATAATGATGATGATGCTGATGGTGATGACCAAAACACGATTGAGCGTAAAATCAAAGACGATGGCATTGGGAGCGATAATAAATGTCATGAAAAGAAAACGAAGAAGCCCTCTCTGAAGACTCCAACTGTTTGCAACTATTCCTAACGATCATTCTAAAAGAGAAATACTAATCATATTATACTCTTTCCTCTTCCACTTTTTCATCAAGAACGCATTGTATATGATTCGACCCAAGGTCATTCCCTTCGTAAACTATATAGTACAATAACAAATAATGTAACGGAGCGACCATGTCTTTTTCTTTCACCCTTCACGCATAAAGCGACAAAAAAAAAAAGATTAATAATAATATGTGCAGAGACGACTATGAAGTGAGATAACTTGTAAAGGGACCCAAAGACAAGACTGAGCAGCTAAAATTCTTGGCTGAAGTAACATCTGAGTACAGCTTTGTTTACAGTATTTTCTAAGCGTGACCGAAATTCAACTTATCCGAAAGAACGATGGGACCATGTCTTATCGTGTACCAGGACTATTATTTTTATTATCTATATTTTAGACGTTGAGGCCATGTTAAAATTTCACGCAGAGGTCAATCACTGATGTTAGCATCTGTTGATTTAGGACATTACCTGGCCTAGTAAGGTTTTTGTTTTGCTCAAAGACTATTGTCATCTATAGTTATACCACATGGGAGTATACGTCTGAAGTTATATTAGGGAGACAGAACGGGTTTTCTCCATCTAAAGGTTGTTGTGTGTCCCATAAATCACGATAATAAGACAAAATGATAGAGTAACAAGTTATATTCTATTTAGCCATTGAGGGCACGCATTCTGATTATTCGACAACGGTTAAAGATGCAATGTTTGTTGGGGATATAACTTCAAAATTCGAACAGATTTTTCGATTGTATTTTCTTTATCTAAAACCTTAATATGCATACTATGAAATATGCAAACCTATTTTATTTATTTGGGTTTGATGGTTTGAAATGTGCCGTCACGTTTTATTTTCTCTGCTGCTAATCGGACGTATGAACCTGCTACGTTCTTAAAGAGTTAACTGCCGTTCATTATAGTTCTCTAGATCTCTAGGCCTATACCGCACGAAACCCTAACCACAGATACGGGCTCGGCTACTTCTCTCCAGTAATAAACTGTCTAGCATCCTGCTGAGCAAGCAGATATCAAGATTTCCCCCGCAGTTATTAACAACACAAGTGTGTCAAGAGGGCGTATTAGTTTGCCGCGGTCAGAAGCTTTTTTTGCGCAAACGAAAAGACCAGAAATATGGGGGCGGATCTGTTTGAAAGGTGTGGTTCGAAGGGAATCATGGATAGATTAAGGACATGTTTCATGTTGTTTGGTGCTGTTAACGAGAACCTTGTGTCGGAGATATCTCTCTTGCCCTCTCTCTCTGTCTTTCTGTTCTCTGTCTGTCTCTCTCTCTCTCTCACTCTCTCTCTCTCTCTCTCTCTCTATCTGTCTATCTCTCTCTCTCTCTCTCTCTCTCTCTCTCGTTGTTTCTCTCGTGCTGTCTCTCTCTTTTCTCTCCCTCTCCCCCTTTCTCGCTCTCTTTTTCTCTTTGTCCAATTCTTTCTATGTCTTTTCCCCTTTTCTCTCAATCTCTCTGTCTATCTGCCACTTTCTCTTTCTCTCCTCCCCCTCTACCCCCCCCCTAACCTTGTCTCTCTCTTCCCCTCTCATAATCTCTTCTCTGCCCCCTCAACAAGAAGCACAAAAGTATCCAATTAGCCTCTCTATCTCTTCCTTTCAGTCTGTAGACGAGTTACGAAATTCGTGGTGAGGGGTGGGTGAGCAGGGGGGGGTTGTTTCTGCTTTCTTTGTGAGTGCCCCTCAAGCGTGACATCAGAGGCAGGTCCCTATGACCTCCATGAAGTGTTGGAATACAGTATGGTATCAGGTGCAGGCCAGGTAGCAAACGAACACAGGGAATAAGCGAAGGCACTGCATAATGTTTAATTTGGTTCTCTGCGTTTCCAGGACAATTTTACATAACTCTAAGTTCGTCACTTTCGTGAACCACCCCCCCCCCTTCTAAACAAAGGTAGCCAGTGCCTTTATAATGATGATGATCATAACAATAATAGTAATAATAAACATCCCTACAATTGTTTTGCTACTTCCTCTTTCCTCATTCTCGAAAGGGACACTGCACATATAATTTATTATACAATCCACAAGACTTCCAGAACTATCAACATCAGCAACAAATATGAATGAAAATGAATGAAATAAAGTAATAGAATACATAGCACGACTGAGATGATTTAAAATAAACTAATGCGTAGGGATAATATTATCAGAGATAACGAGACTGAGAGAGAAGGAGACGGAGAGAGAGAGAGAGAGAGAGAGAGAGAGAGAGAGAGAGAGAGAGAGAGAGAGAGAGCACAGACAA